AGAAGGAGGCCGACAGAGAGAAAAAGCCTTCTTCTGGAATTGATGCCCTGAATTTGGACTTTTAGCCTATTTTACTGTGAGGAAATAAACTCTTTGTTAAAGCCATCCACTTGTGGTATTTCTGTTATAGCAGCACTAGATGACTAAGACACTTATGCTCATCAAAAAACTTCACAAAGAGAGTGAAAAGAGAATCTACAGACTGGCAAAAAGGTTTTGGCTATGACATATCCAACAAGGGTCTAATCTCTAAAATCTATAGAATACTCCAACACCTCAACGACAAAAACACAAACAATCCACTTAAAAATGGGCAAAGGATATGAACAGATACTTCACCAAAGAAGACATTCAGGTGGCTAACAGACACATGAGGAAATGTTCATGATCTTTAGCCATTAAACCTGTTGCTGTCAAGTCAATTCCAACTCATAGCAACCCTGCAGGACAGAGTAGAACTGCCCATAGTGTTTCCAAGGAGCGGCTGGTGGGTTTGAACTGCCAACCTTTTGGATAGCAGCTGTAGCTCTTAACCACTGTGCCACCAGGGCTCCCTTTAGCCATTAGAGAAATGCAGATCAAAACTATAATGAGATGCCATCTTATCCCAATAGTACTGGCACTGATAATAATAATAAAAAAAACAACCCAGAAAATAACAAATGTTGGAGACATTGTGGGGAGATTGGAACTTTTATGCACTGCTGGTGGGAATGTAAAATGGTACAACCACTATGGAAAATGATACGGTGCCTCCTTAAAAAGCTAGAAATAGAAATACCATATGATTCAGCAATCCCACTCCCAGGAATATACCCTAAAGAAATAAGAGCTGTCACACGAAAAGACACATACATATGTAGGTTCATTGCAGCGTTATCCACAATAGCAAAAAGATGGAAACAACCTAAGTGCCTATCAATAGGTGAATGGATAAACAAACTATGATACATACACACAATGGATTAGTACACATGATAAAGAACAATGATGAATCTGCAAAACATCTCACAACGTGAATGACGCTGGAGGGCATAATGCTGAGTGAAATAAGTCAATCACAAAAGGACAAATATTGTATGAGACCACTATTATAAAAACTCAAGAAAAGGTTTACACACAGAAAAAAAATCTTTGATGGTTATGAGGAAGGAGAGAAACGGGGAGGGTAAATCACTAACTAGACAGTAGACAAGTGTTAACTTTGGTGAAGGGAAAGACAACACAATATATGGGAAGTCAGCACAACTTGACCAAGGCAAAGTCATAGAAGCTTCCTAGACACATTCAAACACCTTGAGGGACCAAGTTACTGGGGCTGAGGGCTGGGGATCATGGTCTTGGGGGACAGCAAGGTCAATTGGCATAACATAGTTCATAAAGAAAATGTTCCACATCCGACTTTGGTGAGTAGTATCTGCGGTCTTAAAAGCTTGTGAGCAGCCATCTAAGATACATCTATTGGTCCCATCTTGTCTGAAGCAAAAGAGAATGAAGAAAACCAAAGATAAAAGGAAAATATTAGTCCAAAGAACTATTGGCCCATATGAACAAGCCTTCATCAGCCTGAGCCCAAAAAACTAGATGGTGCCTGGCTACAACCACCAACCACTCTGACAGGGATCACAATAGAGGGTACTGGACAGAGTGGAAGAAAAATGTAGAACAAAATTTAAATTCACAAAAAAGACCAGACTAACTGGTCTGACAGAGACTGGAGGAACCCCCAAGACTATGACCACCAGACACCCTGCTAACTCAGAACTGAAGCCACTCCTGAAGTTTACCTTTAAGCCAAGGATTAGACAGGCCTGTAAAACAAACATGTCTTGTCAGTTTGTTGTATCGTGGTGGCTTGGGTGTTGCTGTGATACTGGAAGCTTTGCCACTGGTATTTCAAATACTAGCAGGATACCCTTGGTGGACAGGTTTTAGCACAGCTTCCACACTAAGACTAGGAAGAAGGACATGGCAGCCTACTTCTGAAAAAATTGACCAGTGAAATCTTATGAATAGCAGCAGAACATTGTCTGATATAGGGCCGGAAGATGAGTCCCTCAGGTTGGAAGGCACTCAAAAGACGACTGTGGAAGAGCTGCCTCCTCTAAGTAGAGTCAACCTTAATGAAGTGGATGGAGTCAAGTTTTCAGGACCTTCATTTGCTCATGTGGCAGTACTCAGAATGAGAAGAAACAGCTGCAAACATCCATTAATAATTGGAACATGGAAAGTACGAAGTATGAATCTAAGAAAATTGTAAGTCATCAAAAAATGAAATGGAATGATTGATATCCTAGGCATTAGTGAACTGAAATGGACTTATACTGGCCATTTTGAGTCACACAATCATATAGTCTACTATGCTGGGAATGACAAATTAAAGAGTGGCATCGCATTCATTGTCAAAAAGAACATTTCAATATCTATCCTGAACTACAACACTGTCAGTGATAGGATAATATCCATACACCTAAAAGCAAGACCAGTTAATACGACGATTATTCAAATTTACGCACCAACCACTAAAGCCAAAAATGAATAAATTGAAGATTTTTACCAACTTCTACAGTCTGAAATTGATCAAACATACAATCAAGACGCACTGATAATTACTGGCGATTGGAATGCAAAAGTTGGAAACAAAGAAGGATTGGTAGTTGGAAAATATGGCCTTGGTGATAGAAATGACGTCAGCGATCGCATGATAGAGTTTTGCAAGACCAACAGCTTCTTCACTGCAAACACCTTTTTTCAAGAACATAAATGGTGACTCTACATGTGGACCTCACAAAATGGAATACACAGGAATCAAATTGACTACATCTGTGGAAAGAGATGATGGAAAAGCTCAATATCATCAGTCACAACAATGCCAGGGGCTGACTGTGGAACAGACCATCAATTGCTCATATCCAAGTTCAAGTTGAAGCTGAAGAAAATTAGAACAGGTCCACAAGAACCAAAGTACAACCTTGAGTATATCCCACCTGAATTTAGAGACCATCTCAAGAATACAGTTGACGCATTGAACACTAACGACTGAAGACCAGACAAGTTGTGGAACGATATCAAGGACATCATATGTGAAGAAAGCAAGAAGTTATTAAAAAGACAGGAAAGAAAGACCAAAATGGATGTCAGAAGAGACTCTGAAACTTGCTCTTAAACATCGAGTAGCTAAAGCTAATGGAAGAATTGATGAAGTCAAAGAGCTGAAGAGAAGGTTTCGAAGGGCTGCCAGGGAAGACAAAGTAAAGTATTATAATGACAAGTGCAAAGATCTGGGGATAGAAAACCAAAAGGGAAGAATACACTATGCATTCCTCAAGCTGAAAGAACTGAAGAAAAATTCAAGCCTGGAGTTGAAATATTGAAGGATTCTATTGGGAAAATATTAAACGACACAGGAAGCATCAAAAGAAGATGGAAGGAATACAGAGTCACTGTACCAAAACAAAATTGGCTGACATTCAGCTATTTCAGGAGGTAACATACAATCAAGAACTGATAGTACTGAAGGAAGAGGTCCAAGCTGCACTGAAGACATTGGTGAAAAACAAGTCTCCAGGAATTGATGGAATATCAATTGAGATTTTTCAACAAATGGACGTAGTGCTGGAAGCCTTCACTTGTCTACACGAAGAAATTTGGAATTCCAGAACACTTAATTGTGTTCATGAGGAACCTGTACACAGAACAAGAGGCAGTCGTTCGAACAGAACAAGGGGATACTGTGTGGTTCAAAATCAGGAACGGTGTGTGTCAAACTTGTATCTTTTCACCATAGTTATTCAATCTGTATGCTGGACTATGTGAAGAAGAACGGGCATCAGGATTGGAGGAAGATTCTTTAACAACTTGCGTTATGCAGATAACACAACCTTGCTTGCTGAAAGTGAAGAGGACTTGAAGCACTTACTGATGAAGATCAAAGACCACAGCCCTCCGTATGGATTACACCTCAACGTAAAGAAAACAAAAATCCTCCCAACTGGACCAATAAGCAGCATCATGATAAATGCAGAAAATAACTGGAAGTTGTGAAGGATTTCATTTACTTGGATTCACAATCAATGCCCATGGAAACAGCAGTCAAGAAATCAAGTGGTGTATTGCATTGGGCAAATCTGTTGCAAAAGACGTATTTAAAGTGTTAAAGCAAAGACTTCACCTTGAGGATTAAGGTGTGCCTGACCCAAGCCATGTATTTTTAATCACCTCATATTCTTGTGAAACCTGGACAATGAATAAGAAAGACTGAAATAGAATTGATGTATTTGAATTCTGGTGTTGGCTAGGAATATTGAATATACCATGGACTGCCAGAAGAATGAACAAGTCTATCTTGGAAGAAGTACAGGCAGAATGCTCCTTAGAAGCGAGGATGGCGAGACTTCATCTCATGTACTTTAGACACGTAATCAGGAAGGATCAGCCCCTGGAGAAGGACATCATGCTTGGTAAAGTAGAGGACAGCGAAAAAGAGGAAGACCCTCAAAGAGATGAACTGACACAGTGGCTGCAACAATGGGCTCAAACACAGCAATGATTACGAGGATGGCCCAGGACCGGGCAGTGTTTCATTCCGCTATGAGTCGGAAGGGACTTGACGACACCGAAAAACAACGACATATGTTCCAACATAAAAAGAAATTGGAAACGTGTTGTTAGATGAAAAAGCAAATTGCCAAACAATATTCTAACTAATGTAAAAGAAAATACAAAACAAAATATTTCCATTTACATATACTCATATATGTGCAGAGAAAAAAATGTCTAGAGGGAGATTTACTAACTAAATATCAGTGATTACCTCTAGGATGAAGACTGGGGTGAGGGATGGGCTATCAGTGGGGAATTCTCTGTCTATATTGCTTGAGTGTTTACTATAAGAACATGCTTATTAGAAAATTGTACAACTAGAAATAAAGGAAGAAGAGGTGAGGAATGTTGTTATTATTGTTGTTACTACTACTACTGCTAGATCTATGACTACTACCTTCCCCACACCGAGTGGATCCTCAGGCAGGTGTTAGGCCAGGTTTCGAGGCAGTACATTATGGCTTCGCCATAGTTCAGAAAAGTTTTTTGAAGTCTAGGGAGAAGGGACAAGTTAGGTACAATGTACACTTTACTCCCAAAGTGAGTAATTAGTATCTATAATGTGTTAACATGTTGTGGGGTGCCATCCAGTGGATTCTGACTCACAGTGACCCCACGTGTTACACAGTAGACCTACCCGATATGGTTTTCTAGGCTGTAATCTTTATGGAAGCAGATCACCAGATCTTTCTCCCCTAGAGCTGCTGGGTAAGTTTGAACTGCCAGCCTTTTTGTTAGTAGCCGAGCGTTTAACCATTTGGGCCACCAGGGCTCTCTGTTAACATGATGAATCAAAAAAACCAAACCCATTGTCGTCAATTTGATTTTGACTCATAGTGACCCTGTTGGACAGAGTAGAGCTGCCCCACAGGGTTTCCAAGGAGTGGCTGGTGGATTTGAACTGCCAACATTTTGGTTAGCAGCTGAGCTGTTACCCACTGTGCCACCTTGTAATTTTCTTAGCACTGGCATTTCTGAGATATTTTATAGCAGGACACAGACTTTTAAAACTTTCAGAAGCCTGCCTTGTTTTCTTTTTTGCAGTTATCTTTATAAACATTAATATTTAAGTGGATGTTATTGGGTTTGGTTTTTTAAGTCAGCAGTAGCTGTGCATTGGTTAGGCGTGTAAATCAGGAAAGAGGGAATGTGGATGCAGTGAGTGGCGTACACCTTAGTCAGGGAAGGCGGCAGGCAATATGAGGGGTGTGGGTGTGGCCAAGGGGCCCTGGTGGTGCAGTGGTTAAGAGCTTGGCTGCTAACCAAAAGGTCGGCTGTTCAAATCCACTGGCTGCTCCTTGGAAATCCTATGGGGCGGTTCTATTCTCTTATAGGGTTCAGTTCTATTCTCTTATAGGGTTGCTATGAGCTGGAATTGACTTGACGGCAGTGGGTTTGGTTTTTTGTTTTTTGGGGGGTACGGCCAAGGCAGTGGTTCTGTTTTCTGGATTTACCTTTCCCCCTTCCACTGCTGAGGGTGCCAGGGCGGGAATGGTGGAGACGGTGACAAGCCACAGAGTGTGCGCCCCTTTCTAAAATGGGTCAGTCTCGACTCTGTTCCAGCTGAATGGTGCCACGAGGGAATAACTCACAGGTGCCAGATTGTCTCATTGATAAAGAGAAGGTAGAGTTTTTTGGTTTTTAAGTTTTAAAAAATGTTAAGCAACATTTTTAAACACTGTACAAGTCCCCAAAAACTTATCTGGAGGTCACAGTCAGTTCTTAGGCAATCAGCCTGTACCGGTATTAGACAGAAAAAAATGAAAAACAAGTCATCAGAAAACAGTCAGGGAAAGGCTTCCATGAGTGATAAAGATGTCAGAAGCCTGCAGGGTGACATAATGACCCCAACAGGCTTTGAAAGAAGGGAAGATTTGCAAAATAGTTAAGAGGGGAGTCAGACAGGTCTTCAAATTATAGCCACTTCCTTGCTGTGTGACCTTGAGCAATGCACTAACTCCTCTAAGTCTCAATTTACTCATCTGTTAAATGGGAATCATAATAGTGCCTACCATAGAGGTTTACTGTAAGGAATAAATGAAAGAATGCTTGCAAAGCTCTTAGCATGGTACCCGGCACAGTGCAATTGTGCAATAAATCTAACTACTGAATGAGTAAGTGCTATTAAAGGTGTTTTGTGAGCTGGAAAGTGCCCTGTCAAGTTAGGTGTGACTGATAGACTCTAGAGACATCTATTTGGGTTAGGATAATCTGAGTTTATGAGAAGTTTCATTTAATATCCCTGTTTTGATTTATGAGGCCTGTTTTCACATTTATGAAGACCTGTTGGGTTTTGCACCTCAAGCGAAGCCATCACCCGTCTGTCAGCAGAGTCTTGTGTGTTGCTGTGATGCTGAACAGGTTTCAGCGGAGCTTCCAGATGAAGATGGACTAGGAAGAAAGGCCTGGTGATCTACTTCCAACAATCAGCTGATGAAAACCCTATGGATCACAATGATCTGATCCACAACTAATCATGGGGATGGAACAGGACCGGACAACGTTTACTTCTATTGTGCATGAGTCAGGAGCTAACAGCAATAACATTGGATTTAGCATGCTCGTGAGCAGCTGAGCACTGCGAATCGAGAGCCACCAGACGGTAGTAGCTGCAGCTGCTAAGTTGGCACGGGCTGATGAAGGGCCCCTCTCAGAGTATTGGTGGGTTGCTAGTTTATAAAGAAGAATCTCTTAGCATTATTTACACTGCATTTAAGTTTTAAATACAAAAATGTAGAACATCATATATATGCTTTGTTAATAACTGAAGTCATTCAGAACTATTCATTTCATTAGTATTATGTTTTTCACTTTCACTAAATTGTCCTAAAAGAAGTTTCCTTGGAACAAATTACCCTTAAAGGTCTGTGTGGGGGAAGGATGGTGGGGTGGGGTGAGGAGATTAGGACGAAAAGAAGGACATCCCCAAGTATCTCACATACACATGGTAGTTCATATAGTATTTTTGCATCTTTGATCCCTTTTGATCTGTCTAGTGGGGAAATCTGGGCTCAGAGGGTGCAGGAGCTGGACAAGTTCATACAGCTAGGTAGCAGCAGAGGTGAGCCAGGACTTAGGGGTTTCAAGGTGGGAGTCTTTCTAATCCCCTCCATTGCCTCTGTAGAATTCAGAGCAGCAGGGAAGGTGGCCTGGAGAAGTGGCTGAGTTTGACTGGGTCAGCTGTCAAAGGAAACCCCATACACTCTCAGGTGGGGCCTGGTGCTGGGGTGAGAGAGAAGCAGGACTCTACCTCTGGCTGACATGATGAGCACAGTTCAATAGGATGACCACGTAGTGCACGGTGAGGATCCCAGTGGCCAGCAGGCTGAGAGCACCAACCTGGAGGGGAAGAGGAGAGGCGGGAATGGTGAGCCACACATGGATCGCTGAGAGCTGGGGGCTGTCTCATAATCATGCTGCCTCTGGAATGAGAGACCCTGCCTCAATGTCCTTGTACCCCCATATGCATCGATTTGAATGCATCTTAGCATCACAGCAAAGCGACTGTACAACCTCTGTTGGTATACTTCCAATGACAGAGAACTCACTACTTCCCAGACAGCCTATGCTTTTTCTCATCTGCCTTTGAGTTCTGCCTTCTAGAGGGGCTGAAGTTAAGTTTATCCACACCCTAGCCCTCACCTCCTCCAAGATCTTTGAAGATCTTCCAAGATTCCTTTTATAACTTGGTACTTTTCCTCTAGTGCAGGCGTTCTCAGCAGGGGCAATATTGACATTTGGGGCACCGTGATTACCTTGCCTATTGGATAATCTGCCCCTGCTGTTCTAGTATGTCTAGTTTGTCAATACTCTTTTTAAAAAGTGGGGCCCATTATGAATCATAATCTTCCAGATGTAATCAGAAGGCATACAGAGGGACTCTCTCAGCTCCTCTGTTCTGGACACTTTAGTCTTTATAGATGTGACCCAAGGTAACATTATCTTATTGCAAAGAAACAAATGAGGGATCAAGAGAACCATTACACTCCTCTAGAATGTAAACTCCACATGGGAGAGACTTTTTTCTGTTTTGTTTATTTCTATATTCTCAGGGCCTAAGAATGCACATAGTAGGTGCTCAATGAATAGTTCTCAAATGAATCATGGCCAGACGTTCTGGTGGGAGATGGAGGGTAAAGAAATCATCTGTTGACTGAATTTTAAGCAAAAATCAAAGGATAAAAGAGCTATCTTAAAATGCAAATACCTCCCTGGCAAAGATAGTTTGGCTTAGGGCCATGTGGTAATAATACTCTTCTGCAGAAGTTCTAAAACCTAGAGGATTCCAATGGGGAGTATCTCGTCTCTGGATGGGAACCTCTACAGATTGAAAATCACGTCAGAGGAAGCAAGAGTCTCTATATGCCACCTTTAAACACAGGGGCCACTCACCAGGCCTGGAGAGAAGGAACAATTTGCTGCAACTAGATGGAAATCAAAGGAGCCCTGGTAGCACAACGGTTAAAGCACTCGGCTACTAATAGAAAGATGGGTGGTTCAAATCCACCTGCGACTCTATGGGAGAAAAGGCCTGGCAATCTGCTTCCAAAAAGATTACAGCCATAGGAAACCCTATGGGGCAGTTCTACTCTGTCCTGTCGGGTCACTATGAGTCAGAATCAACTTGACAGTACACAATAACAACAACAAATGGAAATCACACACCAGTACCAGTTGCCGTTGAGTCGATTCTGACTCATGGGAACCCTATGTGCTGCAGAGCAGAATGGCTCCATAGGGTTTTCAAGGCAGTGACCTTTGGGAAGCAGATTGCCAGTCTTTCTTCTGAGGTGCCTCTGGGTAGGTTCAAACTGCCAGCCTTTGGGTTAGCAGTCAAGTACTTAAACATTTGTGCCACTCAGGGACTCTGGAAATTATATAAAACCAAAAATAAACCAAAAAACCAAAAACAAGCAAACAAACAAACCACACCTATTGCCGTCAAGATGATTCCAACCCATAGTGACCTTATGTTTGGTATCAGTTCAATTCAATGGATATCAGTTGGGACTTCCTGTGTGCCGGGCTCTATGGCAGGCATATGGGGAGATGTAAAGATAACTCAGACAGTTCCCGCCCTCAGAGCTTTCAATTAAGTGAAGAAGGTAGATATATTAAAAAATAAGTATGTCTCAGCTTTAAGAATTCCAGGTGAGGTAGATATAAGTTCTAGAAAAACACCAGGTGAGGGTAGAATTAATTCTAATAGGAAATAGCAAAGCTTTCTAGAGGAGGCGGCATTTGAAAATACAGAATCAAGGTAAAGGCATTCCAGGAGAAGGGACCACATAAAGAGAGAGAGGTAAGATGTTACAGGAAGTGTGTGGGGATTGGTGACCAGTATGACCAATACCAGTTGCTGTCAAGTCAACTCCGACTCATGATGACCCCGTGTGTGTCAAAGTAGAACTGTGCTCCATAGGTTTTCCATGCCTGATTTCTCAGAAGTAGATCACCAGGTCTTTTTTCTGAGGTGACTCTGGGTGGACTCAAACCCGCAAACTTTTGGTGAGCAGCCAAGCTCGTTAACTGTTTGCACAACCCTGGGATTTAGGCGATTGGTGAAGGCATCATTATTCCTCATCTCCTAAGCCGTTTCCTCACAGGCAAACATGGTTTGAAGCAGGAGTCACACACTCGAATGCCTTCAGGGACCAGGCATTTAAGGTCAACGCATGAAATTGGCAGCATAGAATCCCCGAGGAGTGGTGGACGGTGTGTTAGGGTGGCAGTCTTTAGAATAATGGCCTGTTTCCTCCATGGACGGTTCATTTTCAGCCAGAGGCACAAAAAGGATCTTACTTCTTTTGCCCTCTCAGCCAGGGTGTGCCTAATCTCAGGTCTTTGGCCTTTTGCCCAGTGGATTGATTTCAACAGGGACTCATCACGTCCTCCCTCCTCCAAACGGGTAAACCTAGTTCCCATCCCACAGATCCCTCTTACCAATAAGCTGGCATTTTTCATGCCCAGTAGAAGCCCCAGGAAACCTGTGCCAATGTTGCATTTCAACAAGTGGATCAAGGTTTGCATCATCCTGTGGAGGGGAGATTAGGGAGACCAGAGGGTACTATTAGTGGGAAGGAAAGGGAGGCCCAAAGCTCACCTTCCTTCTAGCTTCTCCAGCGCCCCCTGTTGGGAAGAGAGACAAGAAACCAGTTGAAATAGATTTCACTGGTGCAACTCTCAGTTCCAAAGGTCTGCCCTGTAGCATCTGGTCCTCTGCTGGTGCTAGTTCAGATGACTCAACAAATATTTATTTATGGCACAGTAGGCTCTAATGAAGAACTAATAAAAATTGCTATCATTCTGGATAACTCCCTAGTCCCAGTTTATTCATTAATTTATCCAATGATTCTTTCATGATTTAGTCAATCAACAAATATTTCTTGAGACCTACTACATGCCTGGCATTTGGATAGACAATGAAGAAATTAATAAAGTTTACCTCAATTTATGGAGTACTGATTAGCACCGGGCCATTTATTGATTTACTCACTAGAAAAAAGTATTAACGACTTCTTCCTATAGGTAGAATATTTACCAGCTCTAATTCACCCCTTCGTTCATTTACTCAGTCAGTATTCATTGTGAACTTAATCTGTGCTGTGCACCGAATAAAATTTAATAACAATCACTACTGTGCATATGGAGTCCCTGGGTGGTGCAGTTAATGCATTTGTCTGCTAATAGAAAGATTGGAAGTTTGAGTCCACCCAGAGGTGACTTGGAAGAAAGGCCTGGCAATCTACTTCTGAAAAGTCAGCCATTGAAAACCTTATGGACCTCAGGTCTACTCTGACAGGCATGACTCCATGGCAACTGGTTTTGGTTTACTGTGCATACAAAGTGGTTACTAGCAGGGTGCTAGGCACTAGGGTTCTAGCCCTAGACAGCTCTATGCCTGATGTAGATGGGGTAGGGAGCAGGGCAGGAACAAGGTCATGAGAGGAAAACCAGAAAGGAACTCAAGTAAAAAGCTAAGAGCAAGAGCACTGAACTCAGAAGTGCCCTGGATTCTGAGTTCTAGCTTTGCCATTAACCTCCTCTGTGATCTTTGGGAGGCCCCTTAACTGCTTAGGCCCTCTGTTTCCTCATCCGCTCCGCCCCCCGCCCCCCAAAAAAGAGAATAGTTCTTGCCCTCCCTACCTCCCAGGGATGCTGTAAGAATCAGAAGAGTCAATGACGTGCTGAATCTTGGAACCATGAAGTGCTTCACAGATGTGAAGTGTTCTAGTCGTCATCATCATCGCTACCACCTTTGGTTTGACCTTAACGGTGCTCATCTGTTAGAAAGGGCTCTTGGAGAGGAAGAAGAGCTGGGTGGATAGAAAAAAGGCAAGCAAGGGCTAGTTTAAGCCAGTAGAGATGCCCCTTTTCCTGGAGCAAAAGGGTACCTTGAAGAGGCCATTCAAGGTTGTATTAGTTTCCTGTGGGTGACTTACAACAACAGAAATTTATTCTTTCACATTTCTGGAGGCCAGAAGTCTTAATTTTTGAGGAGGATAGGTACAGAATCACTTTATATGAAGGAATGACACAGAAGTGGCTGCTTCTGTGCAATTTACAGAAAAAGTAAAAGTAATCCCAGCATGCATACACTGTCTGGGTGACCTTGAAGTCACCCTGTGGCTATGGGGAAGCCAGCCTAAGGCTTAGCTCATATCATCACCATTTCTGGGGTGTCCTTGTCAAAGAGAGACTTTGCCAGGCCAGATTCCGGGCCCCCATCTTGCCCAAGTTAGTTACGTAGTCACCGATTCTCTGATGGATTTCACCTGCTCCTTCAGGTAATGACTCTCAATGAAGTCACACAAGTAGGGGGTATTTTTTTTTTTTTTTAACTTAGCAATACTTGTATTATGCATGATACACTCTGACACTTTCTATTCTGTTCTTTTTTTTTAAATTGTGGTAAAAAATGTGTAACAAAATTTTACCATTTCAATTTTTTTACGTGCACAATTCAGTGACATTAATTATGTTCACCATGTTGTGTAACCATCACCACAATTTGTTACCCATCAACCTTAACAGAAACTCAGCGCCCTTAAATGATACCCTCCAATCTTCCTTCCCACCCGCCAGGTGGTGATCATTTTTGCCAGTGGCCAGGCTGCGTGGTTCTAGAGTGATGGATTCATGCTTTTTCACGCTTTTTCTGCACACACTCCGTTGCAGTCAGGCCACTGTCTTAGTCATTCAGGTCTGCTATCCTGAAGGAAGATTCGGCCACTTCATTGGTTTTGCAGGCTCATCAGTTTCTCAGCCTTTTCCCTCTCATGAGATTGGTAAAGAAAATAATTGGCAGAGGTCGCTAAAGCCATATTATTGTGGTCAGAGCAGTAAGACATGAACAGGTAGACATAGGTGGTGTAGAGCTTCAGGCTGATTTGGTGGTTATGGTGGCCTCTGAGTCCTGATTGGAGTTTCTGTTGCACCTGCAAGGGGGATGTGGTCAGCAGGGTTGGTTCCTTCTGGAGGCTCGGAGGGACAATCTCTCTGTTCCATGCCTCTCTCATAGCTTCTAGTGGCTTCTGGAAATCCTTGGCGTATCTTGGCTTATAGCCTTATTACTCCAATCTCTACCTCTGTTTTCACATCTTCTTCTCTTCTGGATACTTGTCATTGTGTTTAGGACCAATCTGGATAATCCAAGCTTATCTTGTCCCAAAATCCTTAATTTAATCAAATCTGCAAAGATCTTTTTTCATAAGTATGGCAACATTCAAAAGTTCCAGGGATTTGATGTATATATCTTTTGGGAAGGGGGAGTTTTTGGTCTTCTACAGTGAGGTCTAGTCCAAGTCTTAGAGGTGCCCTTGTGCAGTCCTTGCACTGTCTGAAGGAGGCCAGGAGAGCAGAAATGAACCACTCAAGGTCCCACAACAAGTCCAACAGTGAGAGTGCTCATCTCTGGACTCAGGTTTTCTGGGGCTCCTTCTCCCACAGATAAGGGTGTCTGGGCAGGGGACAGCGAGAAGGCCATACTAAGCTTATACATTTAAATACAGACCAGGGAGAGGATTGGGGTTGAGAGAAGGGGTTGTGCCATTGGTGACCTTGATGCCTTCCCGTGTCCCCCTTAGTTCTGTTCATCTAAGGATGGGAAGAACTTGTCCCTTCACATCTGTGATGGTTAAGGTTGTGTGTCAACTTGGCTGGGCCATAGTTCTCAGTGGTTTGGCAGTTATGTAATGATGTAGTTTGGCAGTTATATAATTACTTAACTTGGAAGTTATGTAATGATGTAGTCATCCTCCATGATGCCATCTGATGTGATCAGTCAATCAGTTGTAAGGGGAGTTTCTTTGCGGGTATGGACTGCATCCAATATATATACGGACATTCTGGCAAAGCCCGTTTGCTTGCTCTGGATCCTGCATCTGGCTCATCATCCTCTGACCTCCAGTTCTTGGAACTTGAGCCAGATGCCTGCTGTATTGCCTGCCAATCTTGGAATTCATCAGCCTTCACAGCCTGTGAGTCAGCAGCCTGCTGTCTCTTACTTGCCAGTCGTGGATTCTTTAGTCCCTACAGCTACGTGAGTCAGGAGATGCCTCCAGCCTGACACCTGACACGTGGACTTGGGACTTGCCAGCCTCTACCACCTCGTAAGCCTTTTGAGATAAATCTCTCTCTTTGTATTTATACATATTTCGCTGGTTTTGCTTCTCTAGAGAACCCTAAGACAATATTCAAAAGATAACTTATATTTCTTGTTAACTACAATTGTTTGAAAATATGTCAAAGTAAAAAAAAAATTAATTTTTTCCTTTTTGTCAAAAAGAGAACCATGCTTTCTTTCCCCCTTTTCTGTCCTCTCTCCCTCCCTTTCTTCTTTCCTACAGTGTGTCTTGCCCCATTTGGATTAGAGCTCTTGGGAAAAGTTAGACTAAGTTTTGGAGAAACCATTGTGCCTTAGCTAAGAGCATTATAAGTCAAGACCTTGGAGAGTAAAACACATATTGGGAGTTCCCCTAGGACTTTTTTTAAAACTAGCTTTTTAAGTTTTTTTCATGAAAAATAATACCTTATCATTATAAAAGGAAATCCCAAAATCCCACCAATTGTTAATCAACATTTTGATTAACATTCTTCTGGGCGTTCCTATTTGCTTCTAAATGCACATAATTTTACAAAAAATGAACCATTACACATGATGTTTAGAGGGAGACTTTGGCTCGCTTACTTTGGGCACATCATCAGGAAAGATCAGTTATGAAAAAGGACATTATGGTTGGTAAAGTAGGGGTCAATGAAAATGAGGGAAACTCTCAATGAGATGGATTGACAAAATCACTATAACAATGGACTCAAACATACCAGTAATCATGAAGATGGCACAGGACCAGGCAATGTTTATTATATTATATATTATTATATGTATATTAATACATGAGGTCATCATGAGTCAGAGCTGACTTGACAGCAACTAACAACAACAATACTAAAATAATTTTCTCTGTGAATAATATATCCTACACACTTTTTACTGGCCGCAGATTTCCTTCATCACGTGTAATAGCTGTATTATATTCTACTGTATATTTGTACCATACTTTACCAATCTCTTATTGTTTCCAAATTTTCAATATTATAATCATAAAATTCTCATGCATACCTGATCTATTATCTCATTAGGAAAAATTCCTAGAAGTGGTATTATTGATCAAAGGGTATGTGTATTTATATTTAATTGTACTTTACAAAAAAAAACAAAAACAAAAACACTAGGTAGTACTATCCACACTATGAAATTCAAAAGATGAAGCAAAAACAACAACCAAAAAACCTTACACAATGAATATAAATCTCTCTCCTACGTCTGAGCCTCCCATTTCTCCTCCCCAGAGGTAGGCACTGTTGCCAGTTTTGTGTGTGCATGACTGTATGTGTGTGTGTACGCTTTCAAAGATAAAAAACCAAACCAAACTTGTGCTGTCAATTCCAACTCATAGAGACCTTATAGGACAGAGTAAAACTGCTCCATAGGGTTTCCAAGGCAGTAATCTTTACAGAAGAAGACTGCCACATCTTTCTTCCTCTTAGCAGCTGATAAGTTTGAACTGCCAACCTTTTGGTTAGCAGCCAAACACTCAACCACTACACCACCAGTTCTCTTTCAAAGACAGCATATACCAAATAAGTATTTGTATGTTTTATAGAAATGGTATGTAAGGTTTTGATATACACTGCAACATTGCCATTTAGAAAGGCATCAGTTTAATTCTCCCCAAAAGGACATGAGGGAGGGCATTTCCTGACATCCTGTTACCAGTAATGAGGATTTTCATTTATGATCTCACTATTCCCATGGCTGTTACAGAATCTGATTACTAGGTAATAGTCTGATTGGCAATGAAGTTGAAAGAGAAAAAGTTCCATGTGTCTGCATTTGGGGTAATGAAGATAGGGACATGGACCTAGGAGGTAATCTTCTTTTACCTAGGTGGGTCCGTAGGAGAGAAAGAGAGAGAAAGAGGAGAAGGGAGAGAGAGAGAGACAGAATAGTGACAGATGTGCAAGGAGAAGAAAGCCGCCTGAAACTGTGGAAGAAAGAGCAGCCAGCCTAAGATAGGAAACTGGTCCTGGAATCAAGAAGCTCATGTTGGGACAGCTACTCAGTGATCTGGGCTCTTTGTAAGAACTGGGAAGCAGTGGTGATACCCAGAGCCACAGGGATCAACTTTCTTAGATCCAGAAGGTTTGCCTTGCATCCATGTATCTTCATACCTCAAATATGCCTCATGTTCAATGGGGACTAGAGTGTTAAGAAGAGAGAAGTAGGAAGGCATGGCCAGAGTCTTGGAAGGAGCAGCGCTTGACCTCATGGAAGGGCAGGCAGCCATTTAACTATAATCCACTGTATTCCCCAGCAGGATGGACATTCTTTGAAGTAATGCTACTGCTGCTCTGTGAGGATGACTTAGACCTGTTGTCTAAGGGGTTCAGGTCACTGCTGTCATCCCTTCCAAGCAATGACATCTTGAACATGGTGGAGAGGTGGTGGCGACGGCTCAGGATTAAGGCCTGCAACAGCCTTGAACAAACCTCCTGTGGGTTTTTCTCTGGAGAAACCATGGCTGCAGACCTGAGATGCTGGCTCCTAATACCCAAGGGTGCCTGGCGTTGGCTGGAGCCCAAAGCATGTGGGTCACAGAAGCACGGGTGGCAGGAGGAGCTGATGCTGATTATGCCTCAGCTGGCTTTTGGTGCACTTACCAGAGTCTCATCCCAAGATGATCCTCAGTCCCTCTCATGCCACATGCCAGGACTTGCCCAGGCTTTCAACATCTCCCAGTATAGCCCTCACTGCTGTAAGGCAAAGTGGGCAGTGTGACTGGTAGGAGGAAGGCCCCATTGGACTAGAGGTCCTAGTGCCAAGATGTGGAGCCAGGCTTGGTGCTCATCAATCTCTGGCAAAGAAAAACCTACAGCTACTTCACAATGGGGCTGGCCCAGCCAATAAGATGCTGCAGAATTTAAGGAAGAAGGTGTGGCCCGCTAGAATGTAATCTAGCTTCTACCTTTCCTGGGTGGGATGAGGAGCTTTCATCTTTCCTGAATTTCTGAACAGGAGGGGCTTATGGAATGCCACCTATTTAGGATAGGAATACAAGTAAACTTTAAAAAAATATTTATTGAGCACGTAATATATGCTAGGTGCTGTTCTACGTGCTGAGAACATGTTAGGGTAGAAAACCCACTAAAATCTCTAGTGGATTTTTGACTCATAGTGACCCCGCATGACAGAGTAGAACTGCCTCATTGGGTTTCCTAGGCTGTAATCTTTACAGAAGCAGATTGCCAGGTATTTCCCCCATGGAGTCGCTGGGTGAATTTGAACTGCCAATCTTAGTGAATGCTTAACTGATGCGCCACCAAGTTAGTTGGTAAAAAGTGCTATGGAGGAAAGTAATACAGGAAAGGGGAATGAAGGGTGCTGGCTAGGGGAAGATTGTAATTTTAAATTGGGTGGTCAGAAAGAGCCTCACTAAGAAAGTGACATTTGGGTAACGGGCTGAATGAGCTGAGGAAGCAAGCCCTGTGTGTGTCTTGGGTAAGAGGCATCAAGCAGAGCAAACTGTAAGTGTAAAGGTCTTGAGGTAGAAGAATGCTTGGGGGTAATCTAGGAATGGTAATGAGTGGGATCAGTGTGGCCAGCACTGAGTGGATCAAGAAGAGGGGAGATGAGTAGCATGAACATGTGTCTGGTTTGCCCAGGACTCTCCTGGTTTTGTGCCTATTGCCCTGGTGTAATTATTAATAGTGTCCTCCTTACATTATCAAAAGCATTCCTCCAGAAAAGTTGTACCAAATATACCAAAAATAACAATCAAAAATAATTGTCCATTTCTCTACAACTCTGCCTAAGCCAATTTTTATTAATTTTTAAGATGTTAGCAATATAGTAAGTAAATATGACTTCTTATTGCTTTAGTTTCTAATTATTTGGTTAGTTCCGAGGATGAACATCTTACATAATGGGGACATTTATGTTTGTTCTCTTGTAAATTGCCTGTTTGTGTTTTTGCCCATTTTTCTATTGAGTTTTTTTGCCGGGAGGTGTGATGGTTAAGATTGTGTGTCAACTTGGCAGGGCCATGATTCTCAGTGTTTATATGTCAGCAGTCCCATGATTGAATATGCTGTGAGTAGCCAATCAGTGAAAAGGGAGTTTCCTTGGGGGTGTGGCCTGCATCTGAATATAAGAAGACTTTCTGACTTTTTGCTCTCTCTGGATCCTGTGGCTGCCTCCAGTTCATCTGACCTCCAGTTTTTGGGACTTTAGCTATCAGCTTATCTGCTTATCCTGGGATTCATCAATCTTCACAGCCTGTGAGCTGAGTCCTGCTCTCCAACCTGGCGATCTTGGGTTCTCCAGCCCCTGCGGCTACGTGAATCGGGAGAAGACTCTATCCTAATCCACAGACGTGGGACATTCCAGCCTCTACAAATTGTGTGCACTGTTTCTTTGATATAAATCTCTCTCAGTATGTATTTATATGATTTACTGGTTTTGCTTCTCTAGAGAACCCAGCCTAAGACATTTGGTACCGAGAGTGGTTCTAGAGAAACAAATTTGTAAGGATGAGTTTTCTAAATTTGTTCTCAAGTCTGGTTAGTCTTAAAGATGTTGATGACTCTGCTTCCGGCGTTAAAGACGGCACTGCTAATCCATGACATGAGGTGGCGATACAAATACGCAAAATATTACCACCAGCAGATCAGGTATTGGTGAAAGGCGAGGCTCAGGGTGAACACATGCGTGATATCTTTCTACAGTTTTGTCAGAATGAGAAGTATAAGGAAGCTGGTTGGTTTGTCCTACTTTTGCTAGACAAACTGATGAAAGAAAGAGATGCACTCAGGGCTTCAGAGTCAAAGCTCAAGTGTTGCATAAATGACCTCAAGGCTTCTGCTTGTGCTTTGAAAGAAAGCCTTATTTCTTGTAGTATCAGAACTGAAATTGCTGAAAACCAAACCCAGAGTCTTATTGTAAGAGTGGCTGAATTACAACACCAGCTCAATTGCCAACCTTGAGAGGTGTCTGAAATTAAAGTAAGGGCATTGACTGGGATGAAATGGGATCCTAAAACTTGGGATAGGGGCATATGGGCAGATAATCAAGAAAGCTGGGGACACTGAGCCCCTAAATTCCATTGAATCAATCTTGCCAGCAGAACCACTCCCATCTGAAGAGATTACTTCATTTTTGTCTGCTAAACCACCCTGCCCAGAAAAACCATTAGCCCCTCCACTCCTATCTAATGAGATTAACCCTAGCCCAGCTGCTTCTAAAGAGCCCTTGCCTGAGTCACTGCCTGGGATATTGCCTGAGGCAGATGCCTTACAAGATAATACTAAGTGTTCTCAAAACAATTTCACACTACCGATTCTGGCTTCTAGACCTATAACTAAGACTTAAGTCCCAGTGAGCCCCAAAAGGTGAAGTACAAAGTGTTACCCAGGATGAGGTACGCTACACGCAAAAAGAACTGCTTGACTTTTCTAATATGTACAAACAGAGGAGAGTTCCGGCACAATGGCACTCTAGGCAGAAGCACCATGCCGTCCCTCCACAGCAAAGATCCGAAAAACTAAGCCGAACAGAGAATACAACAATCCTGAAACCCTAAAACATCAAATGAAGAGATAAAGAACTCAGCCAAGCACCAAATGGAGTG